ATATTTTTGTGGCTAAATTTGCTCATGTTCCCCTTTCGCCTCATGGACACGAAAACTTTTAAAGACCAAATAATTTCTTAAGGCAGTTTCCACTTGTCGAGCGGGAGCAAGCTATTTTGCTCCGCAGCCGAGAATCTGCATTCCGCTGGCAGGTTGGCAGCAAGTTCGCGTTTACTACTGTAAGATTCGGGGCAACCCACTCCACGACGGAGCATTCCACGTGCTTCGTCTTTCAGAGACGGGTTTCACCGGAACTCCGAGAATGCATTCCCGTCATTCCGGTACAGTAAGCAGCCTGGTTGTCTACAACGGTTTTTTTAAGCAGTGTCTATTCCCCCTGTTACCTTTTCAAATTGCTGAAATGGTGTCGTTTGACTTTTCTAGGCATGCTGCTATGTTGCCTAGAATATTGTCACGGGGTCGTGACGTGGCCGAAGACAGGAGATTTCGTGTTGGGATTTAGCTGTTTATTTGGGCGAACCTGTGCCCGGTAAACGGAAAGTCCAATTACAGCAGCAGTCTTGCACAGATAGCAGTCTCGGACTGATAGCGGCGAACGGAGCGTCGGCCTTCGATCAACAACAACTGACAAGCGGCGAAGCGCGTTGGCATTTAAACTCTTGCCATCGAATGTTCTAGCGTTATCACTGGCGGTGGCGTAGGTTCCAGAACAATCTGTACCGTTCGCACAGTGGGCGTGATCTTATCGAAATGATCTAATACAGTCCGGAACCTTCTCGAAAACTGCAGGCGCGGTTTGCGCTGAGAATCGTGTGGTGTTTCGGGACGATAACGAAAACTTGGGAAATGGAACGTGGCATTGCCCCCCTCTGAAAAAAGGCATCGTCGTGAACCCAGCCCACGTCGCGGAGAAGACACCGACGCCAACCAGAAACAGCGAACAAGCCGCCGACAGCAAGGGCTACCACCGGAGTATGGGCTTCTACAAGAAAGGGCGCGAAAGACCAAGGCCATGACCGCGACTGCAGCGACAATGACAACCGCAGCGTCCCAGCCCACGATGGTAATTCATCAACCCAGGGAACCACCGATTTTCCATGGGTCATCATTCGAAGACCCGGAGTCCTGGCTAGAAACCTACGACCGTGTCGCCGCCCTCAACCACTGGGACCATGACGAAAAGCTGCGTCGTGTGTTCTATTTGGAAGACACCGCAAGGACCTGGCTCGAAAATCGGGAGTCCACACTCCGAACGTGGGATGTTTTCTGTGGCGCATTCCTGCAAACGTTCGCGAGCGTCGCTCGCAAAGAGAAGGCCGCTGCTTTATTAGAGACCCGGGTTCAGCTACCAAATGAAAAGGTTGGAATTTTTACAGAGGAGATGACCCGCCTATTTCGTCACGCTGACCCAGACATGCCCGAGGAGAAGAAAGTTCGTCTCCTCATGCGAGGGGTCAAACAAAAGATCTTCGCGGGACTAATGAGGAATCTACCTAACACCGTCCAAGAATTTGTATACGAGGCGACCACCATTGAAAAAACCCTGGACATGCGCACCAGACAATATAATCGTCGCCTGACTCCAGAATGCGCTGCTGCTCAAGCCAGTGACTCCGACAACCTGCGTGAAACGATCCGAGCGATCGTGCGGGAAGAGCTGCGCAAACTGTTGCCTTCGGCGCAACCTCAAGTGGATTCGATCGCCGACATTGTGCGAGAAGAAGTTCGTCAATCGCTCCGAATTCCTCAAACACCGCTGCCTGAGCCAGAAAATATGAGCTACGCCGCTGCACTGCGCCACAACGCTCCTCCCCGTCCACGCCGAAACGCCGCCCCTCGCACTTCCGTCGCCAGACACCACCGCCGCCACCACCCCCACCGACGACCTACCGTTCGCCAGCGGGCCAGCGCAGTGCGCCGAGGAAAACCGAAGTTTGGCGCACCCCTGACCACCGCCCACTGTGCTACCACTGCGGTGAGGCCGGGCACACTTACCGCCGTTGCCAGTACCGACAGATGGGACTGCGTGGCTTCGCCGTCGATGCACCACGTCCGCAGCCAGGAGAACGACCACGTGACATCGCCGACTACCTGACAGAAACTCAATGGAGACCACGAAGTCCTTCCCGTTCACCGTCACCCAGCCGCCGCATGTCCTCGCACCCCCGGCAGTACTCCGGCCCAACGCGGGGCCGGTCTCCTAGCCCGTATCCGGGAAACTAAGGGCAGCAACCGGTGGAGGTGCGACTGCTGTGCGACGAACTACCGAAGGTCCTCCTCCGACGACGACGCCGCGACGGAGCTTTCCGAACACAACGCCAATCAGGCAAAGCCCTGACGGCGAAAGCTCACTTACCGAAGGTGGCCTGACGACGAAACATGGAAGCAGCGGAACAAGCCGACGCAGCCGCGACCCGACGCCACGCCCTAACTGTAATGCGAGACGGCGAACTAGCGACCTCGACGTTCTTATCGACGGCAAAATCCAGCTAAATCCCAACATGAAGTCTCCTGTCTTCGGCCACGTCACGACCCCGTGACATCTGGTGGAGGTGCTGCTTTGTTCATGTATCGGACGCCCCCGTCAAGCCGTGTACCCAGCACCTCCACCAGATGTCACGGGGTCGTGACGTGGCCGAAGACAGAGGAGACTTCGTGTTGGGATTTAGCTGTTTATTTGGGCGAACCTGTGCCCGGTAAACGGAAAGTCTAATTACAGCAGCAGTCTTGCACAAATAGCAGTCTCGGACTGATAGCGGCGAACGGAGCGTCGGCCTTCGATCAACAACAACTGACAAGCGGCGAAGCACGTTGGCATTTATACTCTTGCCATCGAATGTTCTAGCGTTATCGCTGGCGGTGGCGTAGGTTTCAGAACAATCTGTACCGTTCGCACAGTGGGCGTGATCTTATCGAAATGATCTTATACAGTCCGGAACCTTCTCGAAAGCTGCAGGCGCGGTTTGCGCTGAGAATCGTGTGGTGTTTTGGGACGATAACAAAAACTTGGGAAATGGAACGTGGCAATATACTTGCGCTGCTGCTTGTTTGCATCTCATTTTGAGCGACAGCGAGGGCACTAGTTCTCGTAGCAGTAGCAGCAGCGAGGACCACGAGCCATATGTCCTTTATATTATGATGTATAAGAAATTGCTTCCTCGCCCACCCTCTGCACGGCCGAAGATTGTCGGCTACGTCGAGGAAGTTTCCGGTACCTGTTTAGTGACCTATGCGTAAACAACTTCCGGAGTGACCTCACGCAGGGCATTCACGTCTTCCACCCGCAGATCTGGCTCAGCGCAGTCTGAGTGCTTGCTCCAATATTTCGGAGGCTGCTGCGGATATACCAATAGTCAGGCTATGTAAAGCGTTCGGCGGCGTCCTCGAGCTGGCTGGTGCTATCTCTCCGCTCTCACTCCCTCTCCCTTAGCAACAGTTGTGGGCTCGCGCGCTTATCCTAGCTCCTAGCAACCTGAGAATTTTGTGTGGGCGGGGTAGCGGCGAGTGAGTGGCGATGAAGAGTGCGCTCTGGTGTGTGAGGGCACTCGCATCGCGGGAACTCGGCGGAACTCTCGCGTATGTGCAGCATGATCTACTGTAGCCTTGGCCTGCCCAGCGAGCAAAGCGCCAGCATGTCCATCCTAGTACACACCACTGCCGCTAAGAACCTGTTTTGCTTTTGCTTTTGCTTGCATCTGTATATCAGACTCAGGGTCGCATCTAGTATCACTAGTCACTCCTATGGTGTCGTCTTCACGAGCGCATGGGCGCACATCAGCACTGAAAAACACATGCGCTGCTTGAAATTGTCTTGCAACCCCACCTGAATTGAGTGGCAATGAGCTTGTTGTTCGAGGATGACAGCAACTCAGCTTCAAGTTTTATGGCGACAATGTTTTGCGTCAGCCTAATACATCCACAGCCGTTCATGGGTTCGTTTTGTTTACATCCTCAAGTTGTTTCCTCAACCGCAAGTGCGTATAAATTCTGACCTTTGCGCACAATCTTATAGCTACTCTGGTTACGTGCATGGTCCACACTTCGCTAAGGCGCAGTGTGCTGGCACTGGCTGCAGAGCATCTACTGACAACAAGATGGCCCCCGGAGCACATCTTGGCCCTAACTACAGAGCAATGCGAAACGTTTTAGAATTGCGTGCGATATTGTTTTTTTAATATGATATGCATGAAAGTGCAAAGAAATATACTTGGATGCATATATTGTAACGCCAATCAATGCGTTGTAAGGTGGTTCATTGAAAGAGGTGACGCTAGATGAAATAGCGAAGTTTATTCGGTATCTCATTTATAGAGGAATTATTTACATCACGGGTATCCATCTACTTATATTAGAACACCAGGAGACTCTTATCACAACACAACAAAAATTTACGGAAAAGAAGTGTACGGGTACACTTGCGTCTTACGAAAAACTATGCAATGCTTCATCGCATGGCACCAGCAACGAAGCAGCACCTCAGTTCTCATTTTTTTTGCCTATGTGACGAGAAACGTTTTTGACAACATTATATTTTTTGTGATGTTCCTCCGTCATTTATCTAAAAAATGTATATTGTGAATTTTTTTGTTTTGAGTATTTTTGCATATATAGTGTTTTTATAGCACTGTTTACCAGAATGTGACCAAGAATTCTACACTTATCACATTTTTATTCATTCTAAAATAATTTTGTTGCCCTACAACGTACTTTTTTTAAAAGAGCATTTCATTGTGCAAAGTTTGGAATGCTACAATGTGTGCTGGAGTGCTTTTCCAACTGGCAAAAACGATCTTTCCGAGACATATAAAAAACAATCATTTTCGCGTGGTAAAGAAGGAGTTAATGCGCTTATTTTGGGTAGTTACTTGACTATCGCGACAATTATATTTGACAACAAACATCGGTGATAGAAGTGCATCACCATAAATTCCGGAAATTATCAACAATCGCAAAACGTAACTGAGTGCACTAAGTGTGACTTTTAATTCGTTTCCATTTGTTTTTTCAGTGACATGAACAGGAACGGCGTGAGGGCAAACGAAAACCTCGACATCTCGTCCATCCTACCGGAAAATCCACAGGACTACGACAACCTTGCACCGCCAAAAGAGAACGGTGAGGGAATTCTCGACCAGTGACTACGTCTAACTTATAATCGATTTCATACAGGTAATATACAGTATAACTTTTATTAATCATTTACTCACACATTTATTGATATATATGTGGTCTTGAGACATCAAATTTTGTAAATAATGAGCGGACGCAATATAATTCACCTCCTGGCTTTTACTTGCGATAACACGGCTTCAGAAGATCATTTCTTTTAGGTAAAGGAAAAGTCAGGCTATGAAACAACAAGTCCCAGCTCATATTGCCACGACATAGTGCCTGCATTCAAACAACGCGCCCATCACCACGCGCACAGGGACATACATGTGCGCCGTCTAGTGTTGCGCAGAGACGATGATGATAGCACGAGAACCCAGCTGGCCCCTGCTGATGTGCGCCACGCGCTTGGGACTCTTCTTGAAGAAGTAGAATAAGAAGATATCTTGGTGTTCTGCTATAACGTGCTACGACCATAGTCCCGACCATAGTCCCTACGACCATAGACACTCAACCGACATGTTGTTGTGTGCTGGGTGCCAGGGCACCGTGAGATTCAAGGCAACATGATGGCGGATCAGCTTGCTGCATCTGCCCACGAAAGCACCGCCATTACACCTTCATCAATCCCGGCCCTTGATCTTAAGCCGTCTCTCAAACGAAAACTCAGGGACTACTGGCAGAGCAAGTGGGATACACACAAACAAAACAAACTACACGTTATCAAGCCACACCTTGGCCATTGGCCACCAGTATTAAAATCACGTCACACAGAGGTAACATTAACGAGGCTCAGGATAGGACACACATACACGACACACTCATATCTCTTCTCCGGTGGTGATCCACCATTGCGTGACAGATGTGGTGAAGCACTAACATTTCTTCACATTTTAATTCAGTGCAAACAATTGGACACTCTAAGAAAACAACACTTTCCTTCACCCGACTGACAACATATACCTGTACACCCTGCAATGTTCGTCGGTAGGGAACCACTTTTTAGTCACAAATTATTGTTAGCGTTTTTAAAAGAAATTCATAGCTTCCATGTCGTATACCCGGGCATACCGTAGCACGACCTCTCAGAGAGGTTTTCGCTGCGGTGGCTACACAATAAAGCACTTGCCTCACGGCCCTTGGATGCAAGGGTATGAACGAGTGAGGCACTTGTGCTAATGCCATACATGTCCACCATCGTTTTTATTATCATTAACTTTTGCCATCTATTCGCCCCAGACACACCTTTCACGGCATAGTCATGATTTTATTAATTGTATGTTTTTACCCGCTTTACTGCAAGGAATTTTATGGCCCTTATACAGCCGCTAATCACAATCATTGTCCACATTGCTGTCTCATGAACTGGCGCTCTTTGGCCATCAAATGGCCCTTGCGCCAAAAAACACCATATATCATCATCATCATCATTGGCTGAACCTCTTTGAGAGAGTGGCACGTTTGAACGGTTCGGATGAGAAAGAGAAGCTCCGCCGCGTATACTTTGCATTGGAGGACTTCGCAAAGACGTGGTATGGGAACCATAAAACCTCCTTTACGACCTGGGATCAATTTGGGTGACAAGCTCTGGCGACTTATGCCAGCGCGGATCGCAAAGAAAAGGCGCAGGCTGCGCTCGAATCCAGAAACCAACTCACCAACGAAAGTGTCGCAATGTATATCGAGGACATGATCCGCCTGTTCAAGCGCGCAGATTACCATATGACCGAAGACAAGAAGCTACGCCACCTCATCCGTGGGGTGAAGCAAGAGCTATTCGCTGTTCTCGTCCGCAACCCACATCGAACAGTTGCGGAGTTTCATACGGAAGCGACAGCCATCTAGAAAACGCTAGAACAGTGGGCTCGACAGTACAATCGAGACATAAACTATGCACCTGCCAATGTCTTCTCTGGACGCCAGCGTAGTGACATGGACGCTCTGCGAAAACTCATCAGGTCGGTGATCAGGGAAGAGCTCAGCAAGTTGCAAGCACCTCACACTACAGCAACACTGTCTGTCGTCGACGTAGTACGAGATGAACTGAGGCAGATGATACGTGAGCCGGAGCGTGTGTCACAGCCGACCCAACGCATCCCAACGTACTCTGAAGTACTCAGACAACCCGCGGCGCACACCAATGCATCAGTTACGATGGCCTCTCCTTGCCCACAAACGGTACGCAGCGCACCTCGTCCACTGGAACCGACGGCTACCTACCTGCCGCGAGCCCGTAGTGTAGCTCGCTACGTGGATCAAAGGCCCCGGAAAAGTGACATCTGGCGTGACCATGAGCGCAGGCCTTTGTGTTTCCATTGTGGGGAAGCAGGTCACCTGTATAGGTTCTGCCCTTACCGACAGGCAGGATTAAGGGGCTTTCCGTTGTACGCACCATGCCCTCGAAACGGTGAACGACCAACGGAGATCGAAGAGTACTTGTCCGCGCGCCAGAGCCCACTCACTCCACGCCAACATCAGCCAAGATCGCCGTCGCCCAGGCGTTACCGATCACCCAGCCCACGTGCTTCTTCCGCATGGTCTGGGCACCGTTCTACAAGCCCACACCAGGAAAACTGAAGCAAGCGACCTGTGGAGGTGAGGTCGCTGATAACGACAGTTGCGAAGGTCCTCCATTACGGTTTCAAGGTGACGATGCTATGTTTACAGAGGATAAGCACAGCAGTGCGAAGATTGCTTCAGATTTGCGGTTGAAAATAGACGGATACGAGCTAAATGCTTTAGTTGCCACCGGCGCTGATTATTCGGTAATGAGTCACAAATTGGCAAAGAAACTGAAAAAGGTGTTGACAAAATGGAGTAGGGCACAGATACGCACGGCAGGTGGCCACACTATTACACCGCTCGGCAGATGCACCTCAAGGCTCGAAATAAGAGGCTCTACTTACGTTGCTGACTTCATCGTGCTGTCGGACTGTTCAAGGTAGCTTATACTAGGAATGGATTTTCTGCAAGCCAATGGAGCCATAATTAATCTGCGCAGATCCAGTGTAACGTTTTCGACCGAACAAGCTATGTCGGTGGAGGAATCGGAAAAGCGACGTCTTACTGCCCTGCGCGTTGTTGATGATGACGTCACAGTGCCACCACGCTGTAGTGTAATGGTGCTTGTTGAAAATAAGGCATTTTGTGACCACGAAGGAATAGCGGATGGAAATGTAGAGCTCTTTTCAAACAAAGGAATTAGCGTGCCGAGGGGTGTTGTTCACTTAAAGAATGGCCGCTCAGTTGTCCTCCTTACGAATTTTGGAAATGAATGTCAGCACATCGCGCAAGGTATGGCTATCGCCTATTTCCACGAGTTCTGCATGGCGACTAAACTATGCAGTTTAGCGACAACGCCAACCACTCCACAAGAAACCTGCAACGTCGACGCATCAGTTAACGTCGACCATATGCTCCCAGAATATCAAAAGAAACGATTGTTCGCCCTTATAAAAGAGTTTTCGGACTGCTTTTCAGCGTCCTCTAAGGTGCGACGCACGGCTATTGCAAAACACAGGATTATAACAGAAGAAGCCACGAGACCGATTTACCAACACCCATATCGAGTATCGCAAAAGAAAAGAGACGTCATCAACAAACAAGTGGAGGAGATGCTTTCAGATGACGTGATCCAGCCTTGCAGCAGTCCATGGGCGTTTCCCGTAGTGCTTGTTAAAAAGAAAGATAACAGCCTTCGATTCTGCGTCGACTATCGGAAACTGAACAGCGTAACGAAACGGGATTTATACCCTCTGCCGCGTATCGATGATACACTCGATGGACTACGGAGTGCGAAATACTTCTCCTCCCTTCATCTCAGAGCGGATATTGGCAAATTGAGGTGGATAAGCGCGACCGTGAAAAGACGGCATTCAAAACCTCAGACGGACTCTACGAATTTAAAGCGCTTCCATTCGGCCTGTGCACAGTGCCAGCTACGTTTCAAAGAATGATGGACGCTGTCCTCGCGGGACTGAAATGGCAGTCCTGCTTGGTGTACTTGGATGACGTTGTCGTACTTTCCGCTACATTCGACCAACATCTAGAGCGACTCCGCACAGTATTGGAAGCCATTCGTTCAGCAGACTTGACCATCAAGCCAAAAAAATGCCACTTCGCTTTTGAAGAGCTTCGATTCCTCGGACACGTCTTCAGCTCCGACGGCGTTTGGCCAGATCCCGAAAAGTCAGCTGCCATTGCGAAGTTCCCGACACCAAAAGAGAAGAAGTCAGTACGTCGCTTCCTGGGTTTATGTGCGTACTATCGGTGATTTGTGGAAAATTCTTCGAACATTGCTGAACCACTTACTAATCTGACAGAAGACGAGGTGCCCTTTAGGTGCGAAAGTGAACAACAGGAAGCATTTGATGAGTTAAGAACCCGCCTGCAAGCCTCTCCAATCCTCGCCCACTTCGATGATGCTGCCGAAACTGAAGTTCACACTGATGCGTGTAACGTCGGCCTCGGAGCCATTTTAGTCCAGCGGCAAAACGGCCAAGAAAACGTGCTAGCGTATGCCAGCCGCGAGCTTTTGAAAGCTGAGACAAATTACTCTGCAACCGAAAAAGAGAGTCTCGCGGTCATTTGGGCCATAAGTAAATTTCGGCCGTACCTCTACGGTAGACCATTCCGAGCAGTAAGTGACCACCATTGCCTGTGTTGGCTGGCGAATCTTAAGGATCCCTCTAGCCGACTAGCAAGATGGAGCCTTAGGTTACAAGAGTACGATGTTACTGTGGTATACAAATCTGGGAAAAAGCACAGCGATGCCGACTGCCTGTCAGGCGCAGCAGTGGAGACGAGTGAGCCGGAGGAAGAAGACTTCCTGTTTCTAGGCGTCGTCCAGGCATCAGAAATCGCTGAGCAACAACAAAATGACCCCGATTTGCTGCCGCCTATACAGCGTCTCCAAGGACTCAACGTTAAAGTCCCGCGCACTTTATCCAGAGGGTCCCTTCGTTCTGTCTTCGGGAAGGGGTTCTTTACAAGACGAACTTCAAGCCTCATGGTGACAAGTTTTTACTCGTTGTACCTGCACCTTTACGAAACGAGATTCTGCACGCATGTCATGATGAGCCAACTTCTGGGCACATGGGTGTCAGCCATACATTCACCAGAATTCATCTAAAACACTACTGGCCAAAACTGTTATCATCAGTTCAGCGCTATGTGAAAACTTGCCGTGAGTGTCAAAGACGCAAAACTCCATCCGTGAAACCTGCAGGCCTCCTCCAGCCAATAGAAACACTGCATGCCCTATTCCAACAAGTCGGTATGGATCTCCTAGGCCCGTTTCCGACATCGACTGCACACAAGAATTGGATAGTCGTAGCCACGGACTATCTCACTTGCTACGCTGAGACTGACTCGCTGTACACTGCAACAGCTCTTGAAGTTGCCAAGTTCTTCATCAACAACATAGTCCTCAGACATGGTGCACCAAGCGTTGTAATTACAGATCGTGGCCCAGCTTTTACTGCAGACCTAATAAAATGTCTGATGCGAATGACCCATACAGACCAGAGAAGAACTACAGCATACCATCCTCAAACAAATGCCCCAACGAAGCGCTTGAACAGAACTCTGACTGACATGCTTTCAATATATATCGACGTCGAACATAAACTGTGGGATGAAATATTGCCCTACATCACGTTCGCATATAATACAGCCTTTCAAGAAACAACGCGAGTGACACCATTTGAACTTGTGTTCGGCCGAAGAGTCACCACTCCACTGGTTGCCATGTTACCACTGAATGATGAAAACAGCAATCCACCTGGCCTAGACGACTTCCTGCAAAGAGCCGAGGAAGCACGACAGATGGCGAGATACAGAATACGCCGCCAACAGCGTATCGACTCCTATCGGTACAATCAGCGTCGTACCGAAACGCATTTTCAACCAGGTGACAAAGTATGGATATGGACCCGAGTGCGTCGCCGTGGACTTTCTGAAAAACTTTTTAGCCGCTACTTCGGGCTTTACGAAGTACTCCATCGAGTAAGCGATGTAACTTACCAAGTCAGATCCGCTATACACGGGAGCTCAAAACGCCGCAACCCTACAGAGGTTGTACATGTAGTCCGGATGAAGCCGTACTATGAAAGATCACCGGAAGACCAGTGACCCTACCACAAATCTATTCATTGCATGACGCATCGGGACGATGCGTATGAGGAGGGGATTATGCCACGACATAGTGCCTGCATTCAAACAACGCGCCCATCACCACGCGCACAGGGACATACATGCGCGCCGTCTAGTGTTGCGCAGAGACGATGATGATAGCACGAGAACCCAGCTGGCCCCTGCTGATGTGCGCCACGCGCTTGAGACTTTTCTTGAAGAAGTAGAAGAAGAAGATATCTTGGTGTTCTGCTGTAACGTGCTACGACCATAGTCCCTTTGACTTGTGGGCACAGGTTCGTCCTTTAATAAATAAGTTTTATTATACCCCGAGTCCTTCAACATCGTCACAATATTATCGCCATGTTAGAAGTTCTAGGTCACCTTATGCAAAAAAGTTCACAAAATATTCGTCAACAATCGGTAAATGATAACTTAGGTTTCTGACATTTTGTCTACACGAAACTTTTTTTTTGTGTAACCACGCTGACGCCGGCACCTTTTATACTCTCCAAATTCTGCAATTTTGTTACAGCAAATATTTTCAGTAAACATGTTATGCGTGTTTGCAGTTTGGGGGGGGGGGGGTGTGGCTTGTGCAGAGTTTTGTAAATCTCAAGTGTGAGTAGGTAAACAAACCGGCTAATTGTTCCAATGGCAGTAATGAAAGTTTATTCAGTAACTAGCACATTCTATTTGCAGAAAAATAGTATTAGATATCTTGACTTAAAACCTTTCGTCGTAATGAGAGTTGTTCTTACTATTTGGTATGATCTTGGTATCTGTTGCTGAGCCACCCACAAAGTAGTGGTCTTGTAACACCACATATTGTGCTTTTATGTTTCCGATAACTTGCTTCCACATGGCGTGGCCGATCGAGAAGAATCGTGTCCCCTTTTTTTTAACCTGCGAGCATGCAATCTTACCACACGAATGTGACAGCGTCTTACCAATGAATGTATGCGAAGTACTTAAGAGGGCAACTGAAAATCAATACGATAGCGCGTGCTACAGGCAGTATTGTTTGAAAGATTGCGTGCCCTCCTACGATATTAACTCCGATATTGACTCAGACTCACGATACTTACTTGCAACCAGCATCCCAATTTAATGGTACTATATTTTGCGTGGAGAGGTTTACTCAAAGTTACTTTTGCCAATCGCACTGTAACAGCATCGAATGGTTCTTTGTTGCCTTTGGTCACATTGTGATGGTTTCAAACTGTGTTAAATATGTTCATGTTGGCTTTCTTTCAGAAAAAAATGTGCTTTCTTTTCTTTTTCTGATCTTTTTCATTCACCCTCCTTGTTTCTATATTAGGCTTGCACTGTTTATTAAACAGAGGAAGATTTTTCCACCATTCATACCCGTACGCTATCCCAGCACACGTCTGTTTAAATTGAATAAGCTCTCGTGATAAACACCTTAACAGATTTTGCCCAGCAATTTGCGCTAATAACTCTAGAGCTAACACGCTCCGGTGTCCTCATTTTAATTGTACACTATAGTACTACGCTTTTCTTTGCTTGTAGTTGTTTCAAAGTGCACCTGGCATATTAAGTGAGGTTCATAAACTTGCAGCAAGGACCAAAAATCAAGCACGTTAGCAGAAACAGAACAGACCAGCTCGAAATAAAATTTTAAATACTGAAGCTGAGCTGGCACATTTCAAAACGCTGTGAACTAATCCCAATGATGAACGGTAGGAAAGAAGAAAGGATGAAAGGAAGGAGAATAATTTTATTTTGGTCTTGTGGAATGCGACTGAGTCACGCACTCGGCTCAGCCCCCGTAGGGACCGGCAAGCCGAGCCTGCCGGCCACCTGGTGGCTCGGCATGTGGTGAGACAGCCACATTAGAGCATATACTCAGCACGTGCCGAGACATGAGCTCAAGGTTCACCCTGCAGGTGAGGGAGATGCTTCTACCCAGCCCTAGTCTTACTGATGAGTTCACGAACAGTAGGAAGTTCAATATTTCGAATTGTATGCACAGGTGTTCTAGTGTACTTTATGTTTATGTATAAAGTGCAGAACTGTTCCCACGGCAACGTTTATATCGCTACGGCAATTGAACGATTTCACAACACAAATGCATTTAATTGATTCTGAAATATTTGTCTCTTTACAGGGAGAGCAACATCAGTCAAGTTCCACGTCACCGTCCTCAGCATAGATTCTATTGACGAAGGTTCTATGGTGAGCAGTTTATTCTATGCTTCCCTGTTAACTTATTTATTTTTTATTCGGCGATCCACGCTACCGTTTCTAGTTAACAAAGGAACGCTCCATGCACACTTGTGTTCTCTGCATCAATTGGTCACCGAACATGAGTAGCAATGTAGCTTGTTAAATATTGTACAGTACACAAAATATGACACTCGTTTTCCTATCTCACTTTAGTAGGAATTTTGAATGAATTAGTCACATAATGACGAGCGTGCTCTAAATAGCAAGTAGTATACCAGTACAAAGGTAGTGTGAGAAATAACTTGATTCCAATAAAGATTAATATTGAAGTGGCATTCCAGTTACCCAAACAATAGCTGCTTTGGTGAGCACAACAGAGAATCGAACGCATGCTTTTTTTTTTCAAAATTCAGTCTAAAAAAACATTTGATCAGAATCACTGATTTCTCTTCCAATGGAAATAGTAAATTTGAACTAAGTTTCAACCAATGAATCGTCTCATTGCACTACATTTCACGCTTTTGTTTAAGTTTACATATGAAAAAAAAATATAGGATGGTAGGCTCAGTTAGAGCCTGATGTCCTATGATGGTAGTATTGTACAAGATACACCCAAAGAAATTAAAAAGAATAAAAGAAAGTGAAAAATGACTGACATTATGTAGGTTCACGTATACAATATATTGCTTATAACGCATGAGCACTGCCTATAGGCATAGTCTAGGTCATACAGCCTCATAGTCCAGGTCATAAAGTCCAGGTCATACATACAGTCAGATTGCCGATAGAGTCCGCAAAGACAACTTTTTGTGCTCTTACACTTGTCGTTATTAAAAGACCAAGAAAGAAAATATATTAGCACGAAAGTGTTTGATGCCGAAGATCACCGCGACTACGTTGACGCATTTTTGTCATGACTATTTAGCTGTATACTATAAATGAAAAAATTGTAAAAAAAACGAGCAAAAACTTTCGCTTCCACTGGTCCTGTGTATGTTTCTAGGCTTGTACACTCGTTCGTGTCTCTCTCTCTTTGAACAGCGCACTTTAAGTGTCGAGCTGTGACAGGTCGTAGTACGTGCTCGTCTTGAGTATGCTCATTTTGTGCGTGCTTTCAGCTGAAAGTCCGCGCTTCAAGGTTCAAGTTGCTTGTCGTTCGTCATGTGACTTAGCAGTTTGTTGCTGAAGCATTTGTTCCATCGTCCTTGTGGCAAAAAATAGCGCACATAACGCTCAACTACCTCTGTGAAGAGGCTTTTCAAGACGATAGTCTTTTTTGGGCACCTTCGACGCAAAAAATGTTGGTCTGTCTGTCTGTACACTTGCCTGTTTGTCCACTCTGAGCGGTACCGGGTACTTTGAGCGGCACCAGCCGATACGGCAAACAGTTGACCCCGCCCGCATTGCCCACCAACGTTGCTCAAGAATCATCGTTCATGCTTGGTCAATTGTCAATGGAAAATCAATTATTTGGCATGTCTGTGGCCTCATAACAAGACGTATATACTCTCCATGTGTGCCTTTTACTAGAAAAGGCAGATATAAGTAATTCCAAGGACCATAGCGCTTATCACGCTGCGCTGACCATGCAACGCTTGTACGAAAAAGAGAGTGTTTCCAACGCTTTGCTAAAACGAGGCGGTGGTGGCACCTACCCGTCGCCTTGCGTTCTACACCTTATCACCTCTGAGACTGGTATGCACGGCCGTCTCAGAGCCACGCGCTTCGCTTTCCACGAAAACCGCCAGATATTGCTCATGTCTCACGTGTGACGTGACTTAATGCGCTTGTTTGCTTCCGCTGCACGCTTGAGGCACTCATACGCAGTGCCTCTAAATTACCATTCACTGATTTCTTGCACAGAACATCAAGTGTTTTGTTTGCTCTCTCCTCACGCAAGACTATGGTCTTTTGCCGAGAATTGCAGAATAACATGCAGATACGGGGCCAATTTTCTATTTTAGCGTTATACCGATTACTAAAAAGCGGGATTATGAAAGTTTTTTTTTTTGCTCGTGCTCGCCGTGCAACGACCTCAGCGCCAGGCTCGTGACTGCGTCTCTCCTTCCCACAGACGTACGTCGCGGACATCTTTATGTCGCAGTCCTGGTACGACCACAGGCTCAGGCTGCCGCGGAACGTCACAACCAAGTATCGGCTCCTGCCCGTGAACTGGCTTCACCAGATGTGGAGGCCCGACTCCTTCTTCAAGAACGCAAAGCGCGTCACCTTCCAAGAGATGACTATTCCGAATCACTACATATGGCTCTACTCGGATGGCAGTATACTCTATATGGTCAAGTGAGTAGGGGATACCCCACAAATGTACGTGCAATGCTACCACTGTGTGGTGTATCATGGGAATTGAAAAGACGGTGTCTCAAAAGTTTACATTCCACGACTTTTACTCACTGTTTGTTGTGATGCTGCTAGGCTGCTGACATTTAGATCACGTGTTTATTCCCAGCCACGGTGGGCACATATAAATGAAGGCAAAATGCTAGAGGCTTGTGTACTGAGGCCAGCGCATGCTACAGAATACTAGAACGGGAAAATTCTCGAACCATTTACTAGGGCATGCCTCATAATCCCCTAATTGTTTCAGTGCGAAAAATTTCAGTTATTACTGTTATTTTATTGACTGCGTCACAAACGTGGGCTAACGTTATGCAATACTCTAGTGCAACCTATCAGAAACTCACATGGCCATCTTGTTAAAAAAACTGCGCGTTCACTGGACAGTATGAACGCCATTCAGTGTGCTAATGGCGAAGTCATTTGGCGTTCCGTTTTGTATTACAGTGCTTATCTGCGTCTGGTCCTGCGTTTTCTTTGTAACTGGTTACTGCAGTTTGTTTTTTCGCTTCTCTTTTCTTGCACTACGTTGCTTATTGAACTATAAAAAGACGTTGGCATGCACAAGACGCTATCTGACGGATCTAGTGGCTAATGTACTCGGCTGCTGACCCGCAGGTCGCGGGTTCAAATCCCGGCTGTGACGGCTGCATTTCAGATGGAGGCGGAAGTTTCGTAGGCCCGTGTGCTCAGATTTGGGTGCACGTTAAAGAACCCCAGAAGGTCAATTTCCGGAGTCCTCAACTACCGCGTCTCTCATAATCAAATGGTGGTTTTGGGACGTTAAACCACACAAATCAATAAAATCACGCTATCTGACGGAAACGACTCATCAAACTGAATTTTGGACGTTCTTCGAAGAAGGAAGATAGCGGGCAAGGGTGTGCCACCCACTCCCTCGTACGTACAAGAAAAGTGACCGGTGAACGTAACTATTGTTTAGCTCAGAACTTTGACGGCAGCCTTGGCAACTTCGCCACGCAGTTTGGCGACGCTAAAGTACACCCCGTTTACTAACACCTATGCCTGGATGATGGAGATGCAGTTTGCAATTGTTTTGAACATGTTGAATCGGTCTCGTAGTAAACTGGGCATATTTCACAAGATAAACTGTTGTGAGAAAACAGTAGCCGCTTAGTTTCGTGGTGCAGTTGTTCACTAGCGCAAAACCGGGTGCGTAACCGCTATCACACACAATGAGGAAAAAAATATGAGAGGTTTTGAATACGGGTCGTCGGCGTAGTAGTCAATAATTCCACTGCGAATCTCGCCCATTTTCCTGCCCTTTACACTCTCTAGCCCAAATAACCCGTTGAAAGGCGTCATGTACGGGAGATTTTTGTTATGAGGTCGAACATAGCGTGACAAAACAGCAAAAATACAACAGGTGTCATACAATGCAAATTGATACCCCTGTTTAAAGACGCCATGTTCAAGTAATAAGCACGTCAATAGACTTGATATGGCCTGATAAAAGAGCGAAGTTACCCTAGTTGCCACACTATGTGAATTGAGTTACGAGAGGGTAGTTTCATGCTACCCCCCTCCCGTTATGAAGCACTCAGCCATAGTTAATCATTGTCATAAGCGGTGACATCAAAAATGCCCATAGTACAATACAGATGCGGAGTGGCCACGCCGCTTCTCCGCGAAATGATGAAAAATAACCTTACTTCATGAATGATACCTTAATTTGGAAAATTGTGACAATTTATGCTGCAGTGGATACTTTGCAAGTGTGGTTGTCATTGTCCCCCCTAAAAGAGTTTAGAACAGTCTTTATTAATAATAACTGGAATTTGTGTCCCAAAAACTACGAGATAATTGTGAGAGGCGCCGTCAGGAGGGCTCAAGAAATTTTCCCCACGTGATGTTTTTAGCACGACCTCACATCGCGCAACAGACGGGCTTTTATCATTTCACATTCATTGAAATGTGATCGAACCTGCGACCTCCGGGTCAGCAGTCGAGCAGCGTAAACACTGTTTTGCCGAGGCGGACTTACAGCGAGCTCTAGAAGGGCCACTCTGCAGTTTTCTCTGTGACTGCACTGAGTGTTCCACGCAGACAGAATCTATATTTTTAAATAGAACAATCTTGAAGGTGTATTAAATTCTTTTGTCTTAGATTTCAATGCTTACCTCTCCGCGGTGTTATAGTGGCTAAAGTAGTACACTGCTGATCCGCAGGTCGCGGTATTAATTCCCGGTGGCGGCAGCTGCATTTTTGACGAAAGCAAAAATGCTGCGGGCTCGTGTGCTATATATATTTAGATCACGTTAAACAACCATAGGTCGTCGAAATTTCCGGAGCCTTTCACTACGGCGTCTCTCATGTTCAAATCGTGCTTTTGGGACATTACACTCCTCATATCAGTCAATAGATTTATATGCCCGCATAGGAGATTGTTATGTAGAAACCACAAGTAAAGTTACGCGCATTGATCCTGTGATGACATATTGCGTAGAAATCTGAGCTGCATCTACAGTAAATAGCTTTGTTCTCGCAGACTCACCCTCCTCCTCTCCTGCGCCATGAAGTTCGAAACATACCCGCACGACACGCAAGTCTGCACTATGAAGATCGAGAGTTGTGAGTGAACCTCTCATCTACCGAGTTTCCAACAATTTAAACACTTCACGTGAAACATTTATATAGTGTTACCTAAGCATTTGTCGTTCGGTCTGCATAAAAGCTTATCTATTACCAGTTGTTTTGCCTTTTATATTTTTAGAGGGTTACTTTAAGAGCTGCTCTTGTAGGATGCCCCCAGCAGCAAGGGAGGAACGTTGCAATGGGCAGCTACTGATTTCAAGTAATATTTGCATAAAGAAATACCATCAAATTCCTAAGAGAAGTTAGTGAAGATCAATTACACCTGCTTCCTGAAGAATCTTACACCTACCAATCTGATGCGCAGTTCCCAAACATATTTTCAGGCGTTGAGCCTTATTGAAGAATATCTAGATTTCTAAGAGGCGTTAGTACGCTAGAAAGGCCAAAGAAAAAAAGCCTTAGCTTTGTGACGCTTGATTCTAAAAAATTGAGTAGATGGAAACGTGTGTAATATTAGCTTGTGTTTTAGGTTACTTCTACAAAACAGGTCTAAGTAATGGATTTTGGTTTATAATTTAGATGCCTTTCTATGCTGTTCATAGTACCATTTTGTTGCTAAAAATTATTGCTTTATTTAGCTGTGTCTCGAGGTAAACGTTTGCTAAAACAACGTATGAGCATAACATGCAACTCTCGGCAGCAGTTATAATAATTTTCAGCTTTATATATATTTGTTCACCTTCGAACAAACCATTTTCGGTAATAATTTCGCCTAATAATTTATGAATGGGTGTATATATATATATATATATATATATATATATACACGCATGGTGGCCAAAGTGGCGGCCGTAACATTGCAAACAGTGAAGCAGATGCTTCGTAATAACAGTAACAACAAAAGTGTTTACTTCGGCAGTTTTGTTGTTACTGTTCCGATGAAGGAACTAGTTCTGTATATATATATATATATATATATATATATATATATATATATATAAATATATATATATATATATATATATATATATATATATATATATATATATATATATATATATATATGTATATATAAAGAGAGAGAGAGAGAGAGAGAGAGTTCAGCTGAGGCACGTGATGTGCGCATTGCATTGGACGCACGCAGTGTCGTACACGACGGATGACCTGGTGTTCAGCTGGGACGACAACGTGCCCCTGGTTGTGGACGACGCCATCGAGTTGCCTCAGCACAACCTGGTTGAGACGGCACTCAGCGACTGCACGACTGTTTATTCGACAGGTATAAACCCGAATTTCAGGACAAGAGCTAATGCGACATCTGCCGGTTGGCATTCTCAGCAAATTTTCGCCGTGTTCATTTTGCGTCATGCTTAAGATATGGTTTATATCGGTACCTCGTTTCAAGCATGGTTGCCTGAGCATACACGTTAGCAATAGTGCGCTAGGGCTGCGAACTTGCTTGGCTGGAGCATACTTGAAATGAGCCGGCCGTATCTGTCGCACGAATGACACGAGCGATAACATCCTACCGCATTTGGGGCCTGCTCCACATGTCTCCACAAGCACGGAGAAAACGCCAAACCACTCCTTCTTCAGAGCAGTATAAATAGGCGCTGGCAGGTGGGGAGGGGAATATGCGCAGGGAGCTAACATGAACTTTGATGATAAGGACATGATTGCGAGCGCTGGCACATGCCATTGCATCACAGATAACAGTAGACGGCTCGTATTGGTGTTGTGCTCTCACCGCTTACATTACATTTAGACGACTACAAGGTCGAGAAGCGATATTCTCGCAGGAGCAGCTACATTCGCTGAAATCAATGTTTTGTAGAGTCGTACGAGATGCATTCCCAAAAAGTTCTCCGATAGCCTCACTTCGTATAAAATTTTGATTCATTACTATTGCCAACGCCAAATTTATTTTTATGTAACGCCAGTCCAAACGCACGCTTCTCAACGGGATGTGTCAGTCCGCGCTAGTTCGGGCAGTTTAGAGTGCTATATGATGCAGTGCTACGTATGATGGGTGGCGCTGCTTGCGTCACACGTGCTTCGGAGTGTTTTCCCCAGGTGATGTGGTAGACATGTGTTCCACTCGAATATCAAGCGTCGGTCAGATTTGTTTGTAGCACTTTCATCACCATCATCATCATCATCATCATCGTCATCACCATCATCATCATCATCATCATTATCATCACTCGGTCACCGCGCTGCGCCTTTCGCGCTCCTCGTGTTCGGAGCTCGAGGCGCACGCTAGAACAGAACAAACCCTCGCGCCTGGCGATACTCTGCTTGGGCTATGTAGAATAACGTGGCGAGATTTATCACACCTTTCGCTGAATGTTCCTTCGTCCTCTTACGTTGTGGCTTGAATCAACGCCACCGCCGCATAACAGCGCAGTGCATGGAGTAGCGTCGCAGTGACGCTTAGCCATTTGTTGCCCGCCACGACTGGCGACACGCTATCTCAAAACGCCGTTATCTTCTACAGAGCCACGGTGACCACCAATACTGTGAACTTTAGGAATGCAAGGCGCCGCCCCGCCGATTCATACACAACTGATCTAAAAATTACTTCTCATAATTTCTGTCGTGAGGCACCACATAAGGGGTTCTCTCCCCCGTGACCACAAAGCACACGCGAAGGCTAGGTGTTGGGTGAGAGCAGGAAGGGGCTAGAGAAGAAGGTGGTGAACATCTGGATTGGGCGCGTTTGGCTGGCATCGATAATTTATAAAAGGTGTTGCTGTTACAAGCACTGTCCCGCTCGTTTGGAAAAACCATTTTCCGTTAGATTCGCTGCCTATGGAGCTGGAATGTGCCACGCTGGCTTCGGATGCACATATATTAGCGCAAGCAATTTATTACTTTGGTTGTTAGGTCTCAAAACCTAGATGTGATTATGAGAGACGCCGTATTGTTGCGCTCCGTAAATATCGATCATCTGGCGTTCCTTAACGTGTGCAGGCATCGCGCAGTATTGGGGTTCTACCAATTTACCTTCACCGTAATGCAATGGCTGCCGCAAGGATCGAACCCATAACCTTTGTTTATACAATCGCGCAACGTAGCAATTGCTCCACCATGGTAGACTATTCACCCGACCTAAAGTGTGAAGGTCTCAAGAAATAAATTGGGAAGATCCCTCATACCTTGAGAATTGATTTTACACAAAGCATGCGTAAGGCAAGTGACCGATTTGTAATTATTTTCTCATAAAAAACGTCACTAAATGAAGCTAAAAAAGTTTGTACGCACAGACATGTGTTACAGTGTCACGCTTAATGTTGTGTAACGTATCCACAAGCAACATTGGTGTTGGACACCAGAAGCGGTAAGCTGATATTTAGTGCTGGTGTCATCGATGATAGCGGTCCTGGACACTGATGGATATATGAGCTTCAATAGATAGCACTTCACTACACTTGTCATTAACTGAACGTGATGGCTGAGTGAGAGGAGTGTGTAGTGTTTATAAGATTGGATAGCCAGCACTGCAACCACTACAGACTTTCTACGAACATAACGGTATGCTTTAAAAGCCGTTCCATGACCTCGCGTAGCTATGTAGTAGAATGCTCGATTGCCAAACAGAGTGCAGGGGTTTAATTTCTGCTGGCACTATGATATTATACTATGCGTTTGTTGTCCTAATGCTGCCGATGCAAAATTTTAGGAGCGGAGCTTCCTTAGAGACAAACTAGTCGCAAAACCCAAACAGATATTGAGCACGTGCTCAATATAAAATGAAAGCATAAATATGTAAAGAATCGACTTCCTGTGTGAGCAACTATACCACACCACAATACATAATGATCAGCGCCGTCCGTCTGTTCATTCGTTGGCGCATCCATTCATGTGACTGCCACCCGTCTGTCCGTCCAACCATTCACGCGTCCATCCATTCATCCATCCGTGCATCCGTCTATCCATCTGTCCGTACTTTATTCTAGTCAGCGATTTCAACGTTCACATTACGAACCTTAAGACCTATAGCTTCACCCACTCGTCTTCACTCATTTCGTGGAGATGCACTGATTTTTCTTTACACTCTGGAATTGAAATGACCAAAGTCAGTTCTCACCGTACCTTGGTCAATATAAACTGTGAACTACCTTTATTGCAGTGCGCTTAACTAGAGTTGATCTTAACCCAATGTGACGACTGTGTCGTAGGAGTACATATCTAATGTTTATAAATTAGTTAGGCGTCACTGTATTCCCAATTGACGCTTTGCAAACGTTACGATCAACATGAAAAGCAGTTGTGTGGCCTAGCTTGCCTCTGTTAAAGATTTAGATAATATATATATATATATATATATATATATATATATATATATATATATATATATATCCTGTCTACTCGGTACATGCATGCCCGGCCCATGTCCATTTCTTCTTCTTGATTTCAGCTATGATATCCTTCACCTCCGTTTGTTCCCTAATCCACTCTGCTCTCTTCTTGTCTCTTAAGGTTACACCTACCATTTTTCTTTCCATTGCTCGCTGCGTCGTCCTCAATTTAAGCTGAACACTCTTTGTAAGTCTCCAGGTTCCTGCTCCGTAGCTAAGTACCGGCAAGATACAGCTGTTATATGCCTTCCTCTTGAGGAATAGTTAAGGGTAACAAACTATATTCCCGGAGAAGGCAAGGTGGTTAGGGAGAGACAGAAGGTTAGGTGGGCAGATGAGATTAAGAAGTTTGCGGGTATAAATGGGCAGCAGCAAGCACAGGACCGGCTTAACTGGCTGAACATGGGAGAGGCTTTTGTCCTGCAGTGGACGTAGTCAGGCTGATATATATATATATATATATATATATATATATATATATATATATATATATATATATATATATATATATATATATATATATATATATATATATATATATATATATATATATATATATATATATATATATATATATATATATATATATATATATATATATTGTTGAGACGTTTATTGGCGGACACTTGTCGACGATGCTTGACAGCGACAGTCAATGCGGGTACCGACTCTCTGCACGAGCTGCTCTTCTTCTTGCTAAAAAGGGCAACCCACTAGAAGACGCTGGAGAGGACGACCCACTGTTCGAAGGCTTCACCACAACTACCCCGGGTACGAAGAGGGCGCCGCCTGGCGACCTAGCAGCTGGTTACTATGAGCGGGTCGTGGTAGGCTTTGAGGCGCTCCACATTGACAATGTCGCGCCCTCGACGGCGCATGTCCGAAGATGGTTCGATGGGTTCGATCAAGTAATTTACAGGGGAAGTGCGTTCGACGACACAGTAGGGGCCTTCGTATTTGAGCAATAGTTTTGAAGATAGGCCAGTTGAAGTGGTAGGGATCGAGAGCCAGACGAGCGCTCCAGGGAGGAACATGGGCGCAGTAGTGCTGGTGTCAGCGCGAATGCCTTTTTGCCGCTCTTGATCATGCGCTGTAAAGATCCTTACAAGCTCTCGACACTCTTCAGCAAGCTTGGCTGTAGCAGAAATAAGCGCCCACTTTGACGGATCTGTCTTGTACGGAGGGAGAGCCCGAAAAGTGGCGTGGTCACTTTGCGCAGTAATCGGCTAAGCTTTGCGTCCATCACGGATACGGCGGCTCCAGTATCTACAAGGGCAGATGCACGAACACCATCCACAAGCACGTCTATCACGTTCGATGGTCTTTCCTGAGGGCTTTCGCAGTTCGACAGCGTCGCAGCGCTTGCCTCGTGGACTGCGACGACTAGTTTTCCTGGTCACCCTCTAGTGGACGTGGCCGCATTGGCGACAGTGAGCGACGTCGCGGAGAATGTGAGTGGCGGGTAGATGGAGCCTGGCGGGACGACGGTGACGTAGGTGGCGGTTGGTCATAAAAGCGGCTCGATTGGCTGGGAAAATTGGAGGCGACCTGCGGTCGCTGCACACGATTGCAGTAGCGTGCTACGTGACCGACGCAACCACAAGCAAAGCAGATGAGGCGATTGTCCGCAGTGCGCCATCGGTTCGCGGGTCCCATCCATGTCGAAGAACGCGATGGGCGAGCCGGCTGCTGATATAACTGCATAGTGGGCGGCAGACGGGGCACGTGGATGACGTCGGTATATGTAGGTGGCACAGTTTCTCAGAAGGCCTGGGATCGGGCGATGGTATCGGTGTAACCAAGAGGGCCAGTCACAGGAATCGGTGGGGGTGGCTTGGCGACAACTTGGGCGTAACTGAGTGGTGTAGATACTGGAGGCGGCTGGTGATATTCTGCAACGACCTCCGCGATTTCCTGCTGAATGGCTCGGCGGAGGGGAGGCAGAAGTGTGCTTGACGACTGTTCAGCACGTTGCGGGGAAGCAAAGGCCAGTAAAGAGACTTGGCGGGCACCTTCCTCACGCACGAATGACTTGATTTCAGCAAGCAAGGCGGTGTGGTCCGGAGGTGTTGACAAGGCCGAGAGATCAGCGTCACGTGAGGGTGGTCGACGGGTAATCGAGCGCTGCCGTCGCAGCTCCTCGTAACTTTGGCAAAGTGTAATGATCTCTGCCACAGTGCGAGGGTTCTTGGCCAGGAGCATGGTGAAGGCATCGTGGGCGATACCTTTTAGAACATGGGTAATTCTGTCGGCCTCTGACATGCTCGCGTCCACTTTCTTTCACAAGTCAAGGATGTCCTCTATGTAGCTTGTGAAGGACTCACCGGTCTGCTGTGCTCGTTCACGTAACCGCTGTTCGGCTTGAAGCTTACGAACGGCAAGACGGCCGAACACGTCGAAGACGGCGGTTTTAAAAGCGGACCAAGTGGGGAAATCGGATGCGTGGTTGTTGTACCACATGCCGGCCACACCCGCGAGGTAGAAAACCAGGTTGCCGAGTTTACCTGCCTCGTCCCAATGATTGGGGACGCTGACGCGTTCGTACATAGCAAGCCAGTCCTCGACGTCGGTGCCATCCGCGCCGGTGAAGACAGGAGGGTCGCGGATGCGGGGAACACCGGAACATGGCGTCGGCGCAGGAAGAAGCATTTGCTGTGCGGCGTCTTGGTGCATGGTAGAAGGCACGGTGCGGGATCGAAGCTCCAGGGGCATCAAATGCTAACCGAAGGTGTTATAAGGGCACAGCACTCACCACCAAATTGTTGAGACGTTTATTGGCGGACACTTGTCGACGATGCTTGACAGCGACAGTCAATGCGGGTACCGACTCTCTGCGCGAGCTGCTCTTATTCTTGCTAAAAAGGGCAACCCACTAGAAGGCGCTGGAGAGGACGACCCACTGTTCGAAGGCTTCACCACAATATATATATATATATATATATATATATATATATATATATATATATATATATATATATATATATATATATATATATATATATATATATATGGTATTTTTATGATTTGCTTGTATATATCTGGTTACGTCTACCTATTACGCCATTCTTCTGCTGGGCTAATATAAGTGACAGTTACATGTAGGCCGAACATAGTCTATGATGCTTCACCAACGACACAGAGGGTTAGCGCATCAAAGCATAAGCTTGAACTGACTAAGAATTCGCCCACGAACGATAAATGCCCACATGTTTGCTCTGAGTTCTCCGTTACCGGCGATTTTCGGGTAAAATTGCGATATATTTGCAATAATAGGTTGGCTGCACGCTCCAAAAACAGGACGGATGTGGGCGTAAGTCGTCTGTGAACATTGCTAAAGAGCTCGAATTGAGAAGTGAAAATTATCTCAATGTGCATTATGCGTACACGCTTTTGTGTTTAAATGTCAGAGCACTAAAGGGCCCTTGTCTGTTGCAGAAAATGTTCTCGCTGCTAGAGACGGGGCCACTGGTTGTTGGCAGAATCGATACTACTGGTTGCCCAAACCTATATTTCAGCATATTTACCTTCAATAGGTATTAAATAGTACCTTGCGAATAATACGTAAACGAGCTTTGATGGTAGTTCGCTTCACAAGCTTATGTGCACATTGTAATTTTATCTTTTTATAGGTTCCTTGCCTTCACTAGCACAATAATGAACAGTAGATCAATTTGCGCAACTTTTGACTTTCTGCTTTCCAACGACTGCCTGCATTTGCAAATATCCATGTTGAACCAAAATATATATCTATCAATAATTGCCAAAGAAAATAAAGATTATTTGCTTTGTTTGTTGTTTTAAGTGCTCAATTTGTCTGATGAGCTGGCCTAATATTTACTTAACGTAAATATTTCAAGCCACAGCAGCAACGATTAGTGATATCGATATGCTGCAACTGCCACTGTGACCAGAGAATTTAGTTAGAGCGGTTGTTATAGAAAACTAGGTTTGTATATGAACCATCAGGTGAGCACTTTTATATTCGATAACAAACTGACTGGAAAGGCTAGTGTTTAAATAAGTGTTATCATTGGGTTGTGCATTACACGATAACATAAACAATACCCACATTGGTTATGAAAAGTGGCAGAAGTTGAACAAGAACAGTGTAACGCCACAGAGATTTACACCTATTCTGTTCCTACAAGACACATGATTACAGCCTACGGAACGTATTCAATGGGGCAGTACAAGGTAATAAAAGGGGTGGTGGTTTGACAGTGCCTCCTGTCGGCTGTTCTGTCTCCTGTATGCTCTCGTCTATGTCGTCCATGGAGCGCTTCACGCTCATAGTAAACCTCAGCCTAGGCACCAGATGCAACTAACAGACGTATATTCTCTAAACTCGAGAGCGAGAGAGAGAAACGAGAAAAAAAAAGCAGGGAGATGCTAGATGCTTACCAGATGCTAGAATCTGCAGCCTACCAGATGCTAGAATCTGGTAAGCAGCACTAGGGTTGGAGATTACAGAGTTCAAAGAGAGAGAAAAGATATAAATAAGAACAAGAAAAAAAGACACACACGCACACAAAAATTCAATCAACTCAGAGTCGTTCACACAGGCCAGTTGTTCGCAAGAAGCCCAGTAGCGCTTGCACAGCCTTCTTTTGTGGTGATGAATCGAGATGATGGCGTAATTTACTCCGACAGCAGCTGGTCATCTAAGCTATTAAGTGTGCTGGAAAGATATCTCTAAACTCCAGTTGTATGTGCTTTCTCCGTAGGCAACTTCACCTGCATCCAAGTGACCTTCACGCTCAAGCGACGCCTCGGCTACTATATGTTCCACACGTATATTCCAACCTGCCTGATCGTCATCATGTCCTGGATATCCTTCTGGATCAAGCCTGAGGCAGTGCCGGCCAGGGTTACGCTGTGCGTCACCAGCCTGCTCACCCTGTCCACACAGCACGCGCAGTCACAGAAGTCCTTGCCCCCCGTGTCCTACATAAAGGCCATCGACATATTCATGTCCTCCTGCACCGTGTTCGTCTTCGCCTCGCTCATGGAGTACGCGCTCGTCAACATCCTTATGGGTGAGACGAATGAGAGCCTCGTCTATCGGAAGGCCAGGCCCGTCAACATCGCCGCTAAAGTCACGGTAAGCTGCTTTCTTCGGACAATGTTAATCCTAGTAATTACCGCCAACAAATTAATTTTTGTATACCTAACTTGTCCCCTAGCGCTAGCAAGCATTCATCCTTACAACTTCCTTCTTCTTAGCTATGCCGCTAATTGAAAAGTGGAGTTTGACTACTTAGCCGAAGGTCATGGGATAGAATCCCCGCTGCGGTGGAGGCATTCAGATGGAAGCGAAATGCTAGTTCGTTGTGCTAAGGTACGCGTACGTTAAAGAAGCCTAGGTGCCCAAAATTTCGAGAGCCTTACGTTACGCAGCCTTCCATATTCATGTGGCTGTTTTGGGACGTAAACTCCGAACAGTAATATTACAATCAGAAGCTGATACCTTAAGTTGCAGTAACATGCCTCCCTGTCTTAAGCACTCGTGTAGAGCACCACAACGAGCAGAGCAACATGACGTATAGTAACCTTAAGTTTGAGACTTACTGTTCTAGAAATGTACAATTTCATTAGCTGTTTTTATGCAGATGTATCTTGAAGGGTGTACGTTTACGAATTCTCTTTCTTTTCCCTTGCTTTCAAGGAGTCAAGGCGGCTATCAAATGGCACACCCACTCAGAAGATCGAGACGGCAGCCACTTCAACCGGGCTACCTCGTCGGCGTGATCGCGCCTTGCTCGTAGACAAGATTTCTAGGGTATTCTTTCCATTGTCCTTCGTCATCCTCAACACAGTGTACTGGTCCGTTTATATCGACTACCCCTGAGGTGCCTTCTCACACAAAAGAACTGTCCGTGGTACAAGAGTCTCCTCAGTGAACATCGAACCTCACGTGCAATGCAGCAAAGGACATTAAGGACATCGAGGACATACACTTCCGTTTGCCTTCAGGTCATAATGCTGAGCAGATGCCTCCCTTCGTGTGGTAACAGATGAACAGTGTCACTTGCGTGTTGTCCATTTCTGGCAAAGTCCTCAGACCACTACAGCCATGTTCTATGACGTTATCCGGCATATATGCGACACTTTTTTAATCGATGACCCCTTTAAATGACCAGCAATACAGAGCGTGAAGGGACAGTATAAAGACCACATGGCCTGTAGCATTCAGGCTCACCTTAGCACATGAACTCCCAATCTAACTGGCACCACCGATTCCAATGTGGTTTCTGTGGGCTGCATGGATGGACTAGCTTGTTGGCCGACTCAAGTGAGTCAACTGAAGAGTAACTTGAAGGACGGTTGTGACAAGACACACGTCCCGGATTTCGTCTGTGATCTGCAGAGAATATTGCTCTACGTTCTTCGAAACGAAGCCCAAAGATGCAGCCTATGTATGGAGTGCGGGTGTGGTATAGTGCACGTATGGTGGCCCAAAGGACGTCAGTTGTTATCTCAGTCAGACATAAGGACAAGTTTTCGTGAGTGGCTCAAAAGCTGCAGCTCTAACCATCACGGGGCTATTCTGTCGAGCTCTGTCAGCACATCATTGCAGAAGAAGTGTGCCCGTCATCTGGATTTACGTATTTAAACTTTTCCAAGTAAATATCTGCGTGAAAAGCTAGAACGTGAGTTGAGAATAATTGATTTTAGATTGTCTACAGAACGACAGCAAGTATAAATTTTGACGTGGAATTGCTATCATGTTCTGTGTCACACAGCAGTGCACGTGTACACTTGGGTCGTAATAGTGTCTCTCAGTTTCTGTACCTTAGGACTCAGCCTGGACGTGAAAGACATTGAATATGAAATATGTAAGTGTTACGTTGATGCGTTAGAGTACATATCAGCAGGTTGGAAAGCGCAAAACGCCGAATCGTTATTCATGCCTAGTGTACCAGTCAAGCATATCTGAAGAATCACGGGCAGCAGAGGAAGTATGTGGGAAGGCGCGTTGGTTCTTGGTGAGAAGGTGCGCTGACCAAGTGGGTGTGAAAACGACACGTAACCTATATACGTTGTTAAGCTCTTTCAACTGGTGATACAAAGTTAGCTTTTCTTCTCTTTCTCCTATACTATCGACATATTCACGTAACTTGCTGCAGCTACTTTGTCACCTCATTAAGATCAGCACACGTGTTTAAGTCATGCCGTACGTTATATTGGGAGAGCAGGGGTGTGATTTTTATGATGCGATCCTCGAAAATCTTTTTTCTTCAGGATACATTTGGAGGGCTACACGCAAAACGGGCCTAGGAAATGAGAGCTTGCAAACTATCAAAGCACGTGAAGTAGGAACACAATAATTAGTGGGCTAAAGATTTCTTTCATCATGTGGTTCTAAAAAATGCGGAAGTGCTGTACTTCCACTCATCAAAACGTAAGGGACGCAAAATATACTCCGAAGAATTCTACTCCACAAGGGTATTTCTCTAATGGCTTCAGTCGCAAATTATATTGTGCTTTCGTAAACGCATTAAATTCACGTGGCATAATTCTAAGGCATACAGTATTGCATTTAAAAAAATGAAGCAAAGTGTTTTTCTGCGCGAGTTTTGGCGGTTGAGGTAAAGAAGTGTGGAACTAATTATCAAATTATTCTGTTTCCGCTCGGCTTTACTGCATTCGTAAAAAATGGCGATATTAGATCTGAAATGCATGCAGAGTTTGTTGTTTGGTTGTCTTTGTTTCGAGCGAAGGAAAAATACTTCTCTTGCTGATCTTAGAATGCGTCACGTTGAGCAATTGTCGAATATGATATCGCGTTTTATAAAGTGATCCTCTGCACAAATACGTAACCTAATGAAGGTAAATGATCGCCAGTTGTCCACTGAGGAGGCTTGCACGAATGTGCGCACTATGTTTCAAGTCATTTGGTGAAACACGTGGCGCGTGACGTGATATTGAAGTTGCCGTCTTCACCAGTACACATCGTGACTTAAAGGGATAAAACTAAATTTATGATATATGCACTCTTATTAAGGAACCTTTAGATTGGTAATACTTGTAGTTGAGCATTCCTGAACAACGTGTGTAAATTAAAATAGGCCTCGTTAAAGATTTTCGCACAGAAACTCAGGTAAAAGCCTTTGAAGATGAAGCGTACGTCTTTTTTCTTTAAAAAATTGTTCAAATCGCATGCGGTGAATTATAATAATAAAAAGTGCGATAAATTGTACCGATAGTGTGTAATTTTGCCACTTTATATATTGTTTACTGCAAATATACTCTTTCATTCTCTACTAAATTTATCAAATTTGTAATACCTAAACATTTTACTCAAATACCTAAAAATTTGACTCAAAACTTCTTTAGCTGTAGAAAATGTTTGCCTTGATTACCAAAGATGCAACAAGATATACCGTAATCAAAAAAGAAATTGACAAAAAGGATTTGCAATACTTCCCTATATAAAATATTTCCACGTGTACCAGAAGGGTGGGCTCCACAAGATAACTTGAGGCAGAAGGTAGACTGTCGAAGTGTCCAGCATACAGCAGTCATGGCGGAGGCTCCAGCGTCCTCTATTCTGTGATGGTATTTTCACTACTCAAAAGCACTTCCACTAGGTCTAAGTAAGTCTACGTGCTTGCCCAGAGACTTGGGATGTTCGCTGTTCTACTTACCGTATTTAATTCACCGTGCACGTCTAGCTTCTCGAAACACGAAATCGCTTTACGGTTATCGTTGGGAAGTTGGTTTCATAAATGATAACATAGGCCGATAATTACATAGAGCAGACGTAAAATTAGTTTTCTCTTGAAAGATTTGAAAGCCACAACATCTTCAAAACCTCCGTGAAAAATGAGGAAAGCAGGACCGGGAGACATCGACTTGGCTGCCTAATCACGTATAGCAGTCATTAAACTAAATATTACAACCATTGTTGTTGCAAAACATTTCAAACGCGATATTGCTTTTGATGGCCATACACTACCGTTCCTATTCTGCACAAATAATACGCAAACATAGGAAGGTTGGGTTTGAGGATTATGCACATTCCTCGCGTAATCAAACGCGGTTCCCTAGAGGGCTAAGTAATGCACGTATATTCGTTTCCATCGTTTTTAGTTTGTGCGGCATCATTGCCTTCGCCCAGTATCAGCCCGTAATGAGAGTATTAGTCCATTTATTGACCCGTAATTACTTATGATGGCCATAGCGATACAACGCAGTTTGCTGGAGCGAATGCATGCACTTGTTGTTATACTTAAGCATGTTAAATGTCTGGTAACAGAAATTGAAATGCAAGAAAAATACCTTGTGTGTATGTTTGCAAAACAAGATTTTTAACATAAAAACGTACCTACTAGTTCAGCTCTCTTTATCAAAAAATGTATAGATCTTCATGTCCCGTCTTATTTCATGAGCACAGTAAATACAAGATGCGGCAAATCGGGCTCACTGCTAAGGTGTACTGCAAGAATGACTCAATTAACTTGAAAATGCACTGCAAAAAGAACAGTCCTGGCTTCGTACAAATAACACCCTTCTACTATGTTTTGTTTAGGTGTCGAATTCGCATAGCGTGGCATCTTCAACAAAATTTCATGCTGCATTAGCTTTCTTCTGAAATCAGCTTTAAAGAAGTACTGCATGTAGTGGTGGAGAGAAGCGTGGCACCTTCGTTAGGATTACTAAAAAAAGTAACCCACAAGAAATCTTCTGCACACGCTGCGGTTTACTTCACTCGCTTCCGTTCAGAACATCTCAAACATTTGTCCGTGATTTCAGCGTGAAAAAACCAGGGCCACTCAGGTCACAGATGCTCAGTCAATAAATTACCTTTTCTTGTTTATTTGCGTCCTTGCTTGCTTGTTGAAGACACCACATTGCGAGTACGCGGCTCTCGCAATGAACACTGTTTGCTTAGACGTGCTCCAGTAGGCTACTTCATTCCGTCAGAGCGTTCAAACGCCTAAAAAAACAGACGCTAGATGTGTTTATTTGTGTGTGTGTGTGTGTGGTCGCGTGGGTTTGTTTGTGTGCCTTTTTCTTCCCCTTTGATGTTCTTGCTTCAATTATCACTGCTTTTGGCAAGGTTTTTGTCTTCATCCTACTGAGACTCTTGTTGGAGTATGCTGCGGTAGCATTCGATGCTCACGCAGCTGAATACCATGTACTACGCATTTTGTAATGGCAGAAACAATGCGCAAAAAACCCAGCAATGGAATCCAACGTTACTAGACTAGGTACCTAATCTATTAACGTTGATGGAATCTGGTGGCGCAAAGCATGCACACACCCCAAATCTATTTTTAAACACTGATGCTACTTACAGTGAATATTGAAGTATCGAGGGCTGCATTTGGTTCAATTCGGGCTTTGTCAAAATTATCACCTTGCACATTTTGGTCTTGCGGTTGTTGCTGTGGAGGTCACTGACGTGGCAATTCCTTCTCAACAAAAATTGATTTTCTTCTTTTTTGATGGAGTGTTCGGTATGTACCTGGCGCATAGAGTGCTGATGTAAGGCCTCTCGGGCAGTGTCCCACACTTTCTATACCAATTTCGTGGCTTTTGGAACGCCGTTTACCGTGTTAATGTGACAATGTAATGACAAGTAACTGGCACATACGCCACTTCATTAATTTATTGGCAGTTCTTCATGAATATTTTAGTGAAAGGAATATAAAAATTGTCCACCATTTAACCGTGCGAACGCAAGTGCCAGCGAAGGTGAATCAAATGTCATTCATGCTGAGAGTGTTGTATGTTTACTCTTGCTTAAAAGTGACTGTATAGTAATAATTGCGGAATACAATCAACACCTCTACGCGGCCTTCATAGATATTGAGAAGGAATTCGACTCAGTCGAGGCATCAT